CAGTCACGATTACATAATATTGCTACTTGCCGGGACTGTTTGATTACTGCCACTAAAGAGATGCATATGTAACATTATAGACGCATTTTGATTGGTTTTTACTCCTTATCTATCAGAGGACAGCGCATAGATTACGTCATCTTTGATAACAACGTGCTTCCAACTAGATTTCATGTTGTCGCGTGTCTTCTCTGTAAAATATTATTTTTACCACGTCTGTGATCTATTATTGAACAGACACACGACAAACATTCAATCTATTTGCATTGACCATCGTTGGCAGCTGTTGCACAGCCTTGGGGGCAAAACAGAAAAAAAAAATCAGGAAACGGAGAGTGCGACATCCTGAGTTCTGTCGACGGAATTTTTATTCAAATCTTGATGTACCTTTTGTTACTTGAAAAGAGAGATAATCCTTGAACTCCCAGAAGTGATTAACATGAAACTTCTTCCTAAAGTAACCTTACATTATCCACCAAATAGGTAATGAGAATACTCAAACTAATCAGGTAGAAATTGTTCTCTTGCTCTAACACTAAGTTCTCGTAACTTATTTACAATAAAATGTGTAGCAGCTAGAAGGAAAAAATAAAAAATCAGATCCCGTTAAAACAATCAGTTAAAGGGTTGAGAATGGTAACTAAGGACACGTGTTCTAAACAGTTGACGTGGTTTGTGGAGGAAACTATTTGGGAGAGTAATCACGAATCAAAAATTCAAATAGAGGTGCAGTTACCTGATTCAATCGCTTGTTTTTGTTTTCACACAGTGTGACGCAACAACTTAGCAGGAAGATTCTATTGGTCTGTCATTTCAACATGGTTGAAATGCTCTTGAGTTTGTACACAGCCAGTTAAAAAAAAAAAACCTAAGATGGAGAAATTTATCTGGCTTCATAACTAGTTAGGAGGGAATGGGGAATCCAGGCCGTTTAGTTACTAAAGCTAACCCGACCACTTTTTTCCCTCCACCTTTTGTTGTAACGCCGTAAACTATTTGGCTCCATTTTACTGGCTGAACGTGTTGAACAGGCTGTGCTACACAACAAAGAGATTTAGAAGTTTGTGTGACCTGGTAAATCCTCAGGTACTCCCTGAAGAGTTTATTTGAATTATAAAAAGCATCCTGACCTTTCCAAAACAACAAAGATTATAAGCGACCTCCTTAAAGCTGCCTTGTCTTTCATCAGCCGGAAATGATTCCCTGTTACTTTCTCTAATTACTGAAAAAGTTGGATCCAAACCAACTATGTCGTGGACCGGTTTCCACTTTAGCATTATTGTAATACGTGAGCGGCAAAGCTGTGAGGCAGAGGTTTCTCCTATCAGACCGTCCATCCCTCACCAAGATGTTTACCAGTGCACTGCGTGGCAAATGGCTTCTTCTTTTCATATTTGTTTTCATATATGTCTCTTCCCTGGCAGGTATTTTTTTCTCTCTCTCTGTTTACATAACGTGTAAATAGTTTTCCGGTATATTTCACCTGATAAACGTTGCGTATTGGGAGTTTTATCATAGTCTCCCTGTCAGACTACCGTCTGTATGGAAATCCCCAAGATTGAGGAAATTTTGAAAATGATCTTGAATAGTTCAATTCCGGCTTAAAGAAGGCGAGAGAGAAGTTTGAGAATTCATCTCAGATGAAAAAACAGCAGGCTTTTTATTGCCAGACATCATGCAATTTTACTCTATTTGAAAGGGACGATACTACATAGCTGTTATTAACTCAAGAATGTTTCATTGACAATTTAGGGCTGAAATGAACATGGATAACAGAATTTATGATGTGAGAAAGGCACATTCGATCAAGTAACCCACTTTCGCAAAGTTCTCCATTTGATCTATTACAAATGTTCGTTAGCAGGTCATTTACCTTCGAGCCAGGACTTTGAGCCAGTCTAAAAATAAACTCAAACGTGTTTTCGGGAAAAGTAGGTACGCAATTTTTTTGACATGTTAACTTTTTCGTCGATTTTCAACATATTAAATGTTTAAAAAAAGTAAACCCATTTGTGTTAAACTTCCTAAGACATGAATCCAGAAAGTGGCATGGCTTTCTTGTAACATCGACTTTAAGCTTAAGCTGCTCTGTTTTTCCTTAAATCATGAAATATTCGCATATCTTTGTGCTCGAAAGCATTAAATCACTCTTTTCGCGGTCTGTGTTCAAATTCAAAATCTAGCTTACGCAAGCGAAAAAAATTCAACGAAAACTTTCTTTTGTTTCATTAAAGCACTAACTTTCCATTAAGGATTTATACGAAAAAAAAACACAGCTTTGAGTGTTTTTGTGCACGACCCGACAAAATGCTACGTGCCCGAATTAAAAGAAGAAGTATTTATTCGCAAGTCGTTAGACATACCTCCTTCACTTCAGGAAGGTGACGGAAAATCGAAGTGAATTTCCTGCCAGCATTGTTATGAGGATGCTCTCCTGTAGCTTTGATTTCTTCCACAGCGCGAATATTGTTTAATTTCACTTAAATGTCCAGTAATCCCTTAATGGCTTTCAGATGGTTCTCGTTGCTTGATAGCGCATGCGCTGGCTGTGCGATTGAAGATCGAATGCGCAGAGGAATTATGCGTGAGCATCAATTCCGCGCGTACTGATTAGTCTAGCTTTAGTGAAAACGTGGTAAAGGAGGCAGTTTTCTATGAGTAAAATCTGCAAGAAAACGAGTCGGAACCATTGTGGCTCATTCAAATCTAAATCTCCGCCTTCCGAAGCAAAAAAAACCACTGACTCAGGCATGCGCAACACTGCCAAAAAAGGAGAGAAAGGAATTAGAACAAAAAGAACCTGCGATGGCATAACGCCAATTCCATACTGTAGGGTGCTTGAATCTGTGGGGAAATCTCTCTGTGTGGTGTAAGAGGTGTCGTTGGTATGAATGCGCTTATCACTAATACTTTTATCTTCCGTTTTTTCACCTTTTCACTAATGTAATGACCTCCCCTAAAATTCATTCAACAGAGCGGCGTCACATTGAGACTCACGTGACGTGTGCGGAAGATTTCATCGAACTTGAAATAAGATTTAAGTCGCATCTCTGGCAAAGCCTTTCTTCTAAACTGGAAATGCATCTGGCGGAGAAATACTGCAAGCCATTCTTTGCAAACAGCTCACATGCGTTCATACGAACATCGCATTATGAATGCGGTACAAAGTTCAAGGTCACGCAAAATCACGTGATTTTCACTAAGACTTTCATTGCCCGAGAAGAGACTGGACCTAGACAGCTGGTATCTCACATCCCAGACTTGGAAGTTGGTGTTCGATGTACTTACAACAGGAACAAAATTCTTCATGTTTCAGGTAATTAATGAACTTTTTTTGAAAAAAAAAAAAAAAACGCCTTCGTTCTAACTGAGAAGTAGAGTTAAGGCGGACTATATAAATCACAGCTGCGTCGAAATGGCCTTGGCTTATTGACCTTTCATTCAATTTGTCTTTGATGGCGAGGATCCGATAAGTACCGGAAAAGGCAAAAGGTATCAGCTAAAGGAGGATTTCTGGTTTAATTTCCGAGCGACGACACCCTTGTTGATATCCATAATAGTTTGGCAATGTTTGTGACAGTTACACAATCTATCTTGTTCTTCTCATCCGCTTTCTTTCTCTTATGGTCTTAAAATCACTTTTCTCTTCTATAGTTGCCAAATATTTCCATGCAAGTAATTTAAGAGAATTTGGCATTTCATCAAGATAGCACCCCCATAGTGGCATTTTGTCTCTTTGTATCGCATATTTGTTGATTGTATTGATATTGTAAGGCACAGTTATGAGTCGACCTCTTCTGGGTTTCATAAGGGATTAAAGGTAGAGCACCTCAACGCAAAAACGAGAGGAAATGTTGAAAAACAAAAATAAAATAAAATGAAATGAATGTTTTGATTAGTTCTTTCCGTTTCAAGAAAGCTACTTGTATTGTTTTCATTTAGCTCCGCTACAACTGGACAAACTCCGCACGAGTCCCAAAGAGGTTACAACTTATTATGGATTACCAGTGGAGTTGAGGTGTTCGTTCAAATATGGCGCCCATCCCGTGCGAGCTGTGATTTCTCACCGCGGGAAAATTGTAGCCATACAGCAAAATGGTACCCAAGTTGTAACGGTCACAGTCGGGCAAATAAACAACGATTTTGGTTTGTATACTTGTCAGGCAGAAGATGCAAATCGCAAGGAAGTCATGCACGAAATCCAGTTGAAGAAAATTGGTAAGCGTTTACTTGATATGGCGGGAATGTTTGTCGCCAGTATAACTGTGTTGTTATTACGGATTATATAAGGGAGCTTAACTCTTAAATTCTCAATCAAGTAATCTTACATTGTGGCAGATATAAATTCATTTGGGTAATATTATCTATATTCTCTGCTTTCTTTTTGCTGTAAACTTTGTTCATGTTTGATAAGTCTCTTTCATGGGTTGTAAGGTGAACGATTTTTTTTAATCTTTTTATTTTTATTTAATGCTGTCTTTTCGAGCAGTAGCCCTTCGTCAGAACGAATGATGAAGGGCCAAGGCTCGGAACTTCACCTCTAGAATTTCTCTTCGGTGGCCAATTCGCATTCTCAACTCAGTTGATACGAACAACTTTCCTTGTAATAGCTCACCCTCCCCAGTTCCCTTGGACGCAGCACCACAGTTTCTCTAGTAACTTCTTCCCCCTCCCTTATCAATTTTTTTGTCTGTTTGTCTTAGATACATCAACTATTTCACTCCTTGGAAAACAGATCACCTGTGCGCATGATGACATGCAACTGACTCTTGACCGTTTGACGTATCCATGGTTACACCCCAAGTCCTTTGACATGCATCTTCTCGACAGCAGTTGTCGACCATATCACGTGAACTTCACACACATCAAAGTGAAAACAAAATACAATGAATGCAAAACAGTCGGGATGAATTCGTCGGGTGGCGTTGCCTATCACAACGTATTGATTGCTTTGTTGAGGCCTGAGCCAGGAAGACTGGTAACAAGGGTCCCAGATATTCTATTCCCTTTTCACTGTCAGCCTAATCTTAGGAAAGTGTCATCGATTTCGTTGAAAGACAACCCAAAAGTGGTTACCACAAGAGGTAATGAATTACTCGTTATGAAAGCTATTTATGTTTAACGAAATAGCACCCGCGAGATTATAGCAGGTTAGAGGTCTGTATGGGGTCTGGGTTAAACAGAACCCTGGTGGACCTCTCGCGCGCTCGTATCACTTACTGTCTCGATACTCGTAGGCATCACTCCTCGTGGGTGCCAATGAAAGCTGAAAACAGTGCCAATGAAAGCTTGCTTTCGCTCCTCGTGTAACGATACCAATGAAGGCTTGCTTGCAGGCTAATTAATCATTCCTCCAACATGTTTTTACTACTTTCGTACCCGTTGTCTGGTATTTTAATTTCACGCATCAAACTCTTATTCACAAAAGGAAAACAACACTGTTGCGTGATAAGGTGACAAAGACTGCGCTCAGAGGTGAAGAGTTTGTCAGGTTTTTGCTAAGGACTACTTTAATAAGGGACTCTCGATATGCCTTTTTTAACGTTTAGCAAAATAAAAGAAGGCTAATAGACTTTATCAGTCTAATCTAGTCTAATCTTGACGATAATTTTCATCTCAAGGTTGACAAAAAAACATCGCTGGACATATTTATCATTTAGGTCACTAAAAACCACGAATCTTACACAAACTTGTAATCTCCACCTGTTAATCGACATCGTGTGATATTGTAAAAATATATATTCTCGGAAATGTTAGAAAAATAGATTTTTACTAATCATGCACTTTCAATATTTTTGTAGAACCGTTGACGGTGAACAAATCCATGAGTAGTCCACCATTGGTCAAAACGTACAAAGGATTTGACGTCAGACTGGTTTGTATGTTTAAGGGTGGAGACCCTCCGGTCAACATCAAACTGACCAGGAGAGGGAAGAGATTTCTACGCGGGGTGGAGGTTAGGGGAACAGTTTTGTACGCTACCATCAAGACCACTCAGAGAAAAGCTTTTAGTTCCTACGAATGTACGGCAACAGATTCGAAAGGAAAGAAAATAAAGCATAAAATTAATTTGAGGAAGGCAGGTAAGAAAGTTAGGGGATGACACTTTTTAATTACCATAGGCGAACATAGATTGCTGGATGATCACTCTAAACTTTACGGATATTAAGAACAAATTCGATGCAGATCGAGTATAACATAGAGATCGCTAAAACTGTGCCTGTTAGTCGATACTTTTAAAATTCAAATCTATTGGAAGGCATGTTTTATCGGAACTGCTATGTACATCTTATTTTATGCTAAATCATTAGCTATTACTGAATCTATTATAAACTCATATATCAATTAACTTAACGAATACCACCCACTAAAAATTCATTCATTTCCGAAATAAGTCCAATGACTCTTCCTTAAGTGCATTTTCTGAGGTATTTTACGGTACAGAATGAGACAGATTTACAGACTGACAAACTAGTGTTAATATTTATCACGTGCGAGGGCGGAGGATTTTGGTGGGAGGGTTATATGGTTTTTAGGGAGAATGACTGCCGGTTAACTTCCAAAGAGGGAAATCTTAAAAATATCACAGCCCCTTATGGGGGCGGGGGGAGAATCAGTTAAATTACATGGTGACACGGCCAAAATCCCTTGCCCTCCCCCCCCGCGATAATTACTGACCAGTTCCTTATGCATGTTTCATCCAAGGGCCTCATGATATGAAATCAGACGGTCTAACGGTCAAGTGTGGGACAAATACCATGGACATCTCTCTGAGCAGACTCGTGTATCCATGGTTACAGCCAGAAAAACTGCACATTAGTCTTATCCGATCAAATTGCAACACGTACAACGCAAGCGACATGGAGATTAGAATTCAGGCTCCACTCTTTGGTTGTGGCACAAGGACAGTGAGGAGGAATAAGTCTGTGCTGGATTTTCGTAACGTAGTTATTGCCCGAGTGCGCAGACCAAAAGGATTCAGAGTCACATATTTACCGGATGTGTACTTTCCGTTCTTCTGTCGTTATGAAACAACTCGCTCAGCTGGAAAGCCAATCTTACAACCTCTTGGTAAGTAAATGACAAAATACATGGATGCCACTGACAAACTCTAGCTTAAGGATCTATTTTACCCGACTAACCCTGCAAATACATTTTGTAATCATGCTAAATCTGAAAGAAGTCAGCACAAAGGACTAAAAGGAAACACCAGCAAGTAAGCTCTTCTCTCGCCCTTGTTTGCATGTTTTTAAACCGATGCCCGTTTTGAGGCTTGTTGGAACAGGCCTCTTGTTGAGTCTAGGTTACCGGGCTCTGATTAAAAAGCATCAAAACGGCAAACAAGAAAATGTAAAAGCCTACAGCCTGCCATGAATCTCCTTTAGCTCAGTGGTAAAGCATCCGAAGTACTTATCAGAAGGTTAAAGGTTCTACTTTCATTGCGACACTCGGAGCACTTTTTCCAGGTCTGCTTGAGTTATTCACTGAATAACATCATTTTTCCACAGACTATTTTTGTTACTTACTTCAATCTTTCTTCTTTTCTTTCCCAGAGCCACTCTCTGCTGACTTGTTAATGTCCAGTGCAAACACGATATTTGTCCCACCTGGCATTCTAATCAAGTTAAAATGTGTTTTTCACGGAGGTGAGCCCCCGATACAGGTCAGCATCAGCAGGCACAACGTGGTGATAGCACGTACGCAAGGGAGAATGTTGAGCTACGCGTTTAAGCCTCGGTTTCAAGATAGTGGGCGTTACTTGTGTCAAGCAACTGATGCCCGGAAAAGGACTGTGAAGCATGTGATAACAATGAAAGTTCCAGGTAATTAAGTTTATGCCTGGCGAGTCTGAGCTACATACATGTCTACTGAAAGAGCAACTCTTGATGTTGTCATGCGCCCAGTTGCGTAGCAACATTTGGGGCGGAAATAGAGGACGATTTAAAATCAGTGGAAGTAATTTTGGTGTTGTTGTTGCTTTTGTGTGCCGTGCTTTACTTGGCTTCGTTTTGCCTAGATTTCCTTTGCAAGAAACAGGAAATTAAGTTTAGGGTTAATTAAAAAACTGCGTTATTTAGATGGCCAGGTATGACTGAACTGACTAGGATGCTTGCTCAAGTCCATTGAGTTGGATCACAATTTGGATCTGGTTTTATACGAAACGTCTTTTCAAGAACTGGTTTTATAATTTTCTTCTTTAATAATGAATGGTTGATCATTTGTCTCAAGATATAAAGTCATCCTGGAGACTTTCAATTGCATAGGACTGCCATACTGCTAGTCTTCGTTAAGCGACGAGGTGGAATGTTGCTTCTGTTTGCTTTGTTTTCCTTTGCTGCGTTTTGCCTCGATTCGCTCACCTCGCGGTCGTGTGCATTTCAATTCTCATCAAAAGAGTTTTTTTCATTTTCAGCCCGTCGTGGTGCTATTTTTGGTGAAGAAGCAGCTGTGACTAAATGTGACTCACAATTTACAACCGTCACTCTGCACCGCTCCAAGCTTCCCTGGCTCGACACAGCACGCATGCGTATTCATCTCAATGACCCGCTCTGTCAACCATCCCATGTTGACAACGAACATGTCCGTTTTAAGATACCGCTGGGCAGCTGTGGAAGCAGGCACATAAGGTCTCCAAGTGAAGTAATATTTACCAATCGAGTGTTGATTCTAGAGGAAAGTCAAGGAAGCTACAAGGGGAGACAACTGAAAACTTTGATGGAGGTTTATTTTCTATGTAGATACCGGCGCATTGACGCGAGTAGTGTCAGCCAGAAGCGCCTTTTGAAGTGAAGAAAATGAAGTCAGGACTATTCAAGCAAGCTATTAATTCAGTTACAAATTCATGAAAGATCATCCGGAAGGGTAACCAGTGTAAAAGTAGCGTGTTTTCCTATTTTTGCCACTAAGTGCTTTGGCTTAATACTTAGCTCTTATACAAGATAATTTGGTTTTATCAACTGACTTGAAAATGTTAAGAGACCTCCTAAAAAAACCTTTCAAGAGGTAGTCCTTCGTAAGAGCTTAACAATCATTCTAATAGCACTTCCATTTCTTCATACATCCTCCTATTGCATTTATTTGTTCTGGCAATGAAGTTTTTGTTTCTGTAGTCTACCTGAATATAATATAATAATCAGTTTAATTTCTCTTTTTGTGGCTTACAGCTAAATTACACAGGTGGTCAGGATGCAAATCATATCTATACAAAAACATGAAACATTTAACTAAGAATATCTATATGTAATAAATTTATCGAGACGGTTCAAGTAAAAGCCATAGCAGGATCATCTCTAAGAGTGCCTGAGTGAAGATTGTATCCATGGGACACAGTTGTGCGATGTGGCAGCAAGTTAACAAGGACACCAGTGTCCTGAACTCTCTGGATAAACTTAGTGCATGCAGTGGCACGCCGATCAGAGAGAGTGCAGAGAACACACAGCACAAGTGCGTCCCTGTAGGGAAACCCAGGAAAGATTATTTCTAAGACTTTTATCTGCACACTCTCAATTAGGAGGCTAAGATAATCAGGCAGGTTTTCCCAAACTGGGGAGGCATACTCCAACACTGAACAAATCAGGCTGGAATACACCATAACTAACTCCCTTTCCAAAACACCTGACTTCTTCAGACAACCCAGTGCGAACAGGCGTTTGCGAGCTCTATGAACAATGTTCTCAGAGTGCGTAAATTATCAGTAACATACACCCCAAGCAACTTGTACTTGTGGACACACTCGATTTCAGACCCAGAAAGCTGTTAAGAAGGAGGATGGTACGGCTTATAGTGGAAGAAGTCGATAAACATCTCCCTGCACTTCGCAGGGTTAAGGCGCAGGCCATGCTCGCTAGCATAAGTGTAAATATCTCTTGCAATACATACATACGTATGATGCACGAACTTCATATATACATTGTATCTAATACATACATACATAGGTACATAGGTTAATTGACCACTGTTCAGTGGGGCTTTTGAGGGCCAACACCCACCCATCCCACCC